TGATACATGCGCTGCTTCACTAGATGCAACGCGTGAGTAGTTGAAATATCCCTTTGTGCGAATACCGCACAAGGACCGCGAAATATCATGTTATCAACTTGCTGAATTCTTTTGGGAAAATGATCGCACGAATCCTGCTCAACCGCCATGGCACTCAGGTCGGGAACCAAACGTGGCGGAAGATCAATGCGGATTTAATTCGGGCCACAGCACCAAATGGGGCTAGCGGATCGTCAACTGCAGAAAAAGTGCCGAGAGCGACACTAGCCACTGTACTTGCTGCTTTTAGACTTCACTGAGGCATTTGACCAATGTAACGTGAGGCATTGTTGCTTCTGGTGGGTAAGCCTGGTTACCCGAGTAAAGTGGAGTGCCTGCACAGTGGTATGTGGGTGAAGGTGCAGCGACGTTGACAATTCTAGGATGTTTTGATGTTGTTTTTGGTGTGAAGCAAGGCTGTTTTTAGTCACTGCACTGTTTACTATTTACCTAAAACTACTATATTTTGTGCTTTTGATGCTGCTTGTGATTACGGTGTCCGCGTCATCATCATTCATCATTATACACATTACCTAAAGGTGGAAAACACAAACTATTGTGCCGCAGTATGTAAGAAAGTAACTAGACAAATGCAATGGAGGCACACCAGCTTAGCCACCAGTAACAGGTGGGCATCGTTCCGGAGAGCTACCGGCCGACTGTTGTGCCGCGAAAGACGAGAATTATTTTATTTCTAGAAAATGAGATATGTTTGTATGGGTGAGGCTAAAGCAGTAGGGAGGACAAAGAAACTCGCCACTGTGGTCGACGTTTCCACCCCAACGTGTGCATCGTCTTTCGGTCCCCAACCGAGGTCAACTTGGAACTAAGGACCTTCGTTCCTCTTGACCAAGTCATCGCTTACCCCCCCCCCCTTCCATCTACACTCCTGGCGTGCAAACCACACAGGTCGTGCGAGCCGGTGTGTTGACATGCACAACACACGGCCCAGTTATCGAAGCCTGGTGCGTGGAATAACGGTGCTGAGCGGTTCACTTCCTCTTCCTGTGCCATAACCAAGGCGTCGAACACGCTTATTGTTCACGCGGAGTTCCTACTAGATATGATCCAAACTGCGAAGGCACCGGTGGTTGAATGTTACCAGCCTCGGTGTCCGTGTGGAGCACTGTCTTGATGATGGGTTGCTGAACATCCGTCGTTTCGGAGCGAGAACCCAAATCTGTGAGGCAACCACCCGTATGTTTCTGTTTGCCGACGTTGTTTGCCTACAGCGTTGCTGAGTTGCAGCGCATGACGACGGCTTTTGCCACGACAGTAGCGAAGTTCGTTTTCACCGTCAACTCAAGCAGGACTGTCTTTTTCAGTCTTCCCCAGGAAGGGCATCCCTGAGCATGTTACAAATCCAACTTACTGATGACATTTTGGAGACCACATTGAGATTTTGCTACAGGGGCGTACTTTCTACCGACCTGTATATGCAGATCGAGCTGCGCATCCACATATGGAAGACGGCTACTGCATTTGGAAAGCTGGAAAATCGGGTGTGGAAGAACCATCAGCGGACCGTAAGTACGAACCTGTCAGTGTATCGATCGATATACTGCCATTTCTGTATGATAGAGAAACCTAGACGTTGTACCGCCTGGACGTCCGGTATTTGGAACGCTTTCATCAGCAGTACCTGCGTCGGATACTACGCCTCGGTTGGTGTGACAGTTGCACTCACGGAAGTGCTCGGCCGAAGGGGGATATATGCAGTGAACTGGATAATTTTGCCGCGGCACCTGAGGTGGCTCGGACATGTGCCATATGGATTCGAGGAGGGTACCGAAATAGCTGCTATATGAACAACTTAGTGCATGGAAGTGAAACGTGAGCAAGCCGAAAGTGTTTTACCAGGATATGATCAAGGTAGGTTTTGTAGGAACCAATGTTGATTTTAGGTGTTGGGAACCAATTGCGGAGGATCTGCGCCAATGGCGTGCTCACATCAAGAATGCGACTTTGCAGGTCTACGAGAAAGTATTGTTGCATCAGGAAGAGAAACTCAGATCACGGAAGCGACAGCCGCTGATGGGGCCTAGCTTATCGACGTCAAGCCCACGGTGCTGTAACATATGCGTTCGTGAGTGTCTCAACCGATGCGGTCTAGTAAACCACCAGCTGGACCACGAGACGCCAACACCGAAAAGGCGACTAATAAGTATCGGCGCGGCGTTCGGTAAGTACGCTGTTTTTGACTCCATCTACTAACCCACTCCAATAATGCAGTCTATGTGATATGTGAGCTGCATCGTTGATTTTCTCGCATTTCAGGTGCTTGTTGTTGTTTGATATCCCTACAGATTATATATATATATATATATATATATATATATATATGCCGCATTATTGTAGTGAGTCCGTAAATGGAATCGAAAGCAGCGCACCCCATGAACCCATGGTTATTCGGGCCATTTTCCATGCGTGTTCATTTGATCGCCAACGGTTGACATCTGCACGAGTGTGTTAATTGCCTTTTGTCACTGCGCAGAAGTCTTGTCTTTGGCTTAGTGTTCAGATTTCCGTACTGAACCTCAGCACTGGTTTTTTTATAGCTAGTCGTAGGTAACCTGTTCTGCGCCTCAACTTGCACTGTTCACCAGCCGGATCGATTCACTGCTGTGGTCCTATTTGCGATGCACAAATTTCTAGGGTCTGTGCTACATACTCGTCGGTGCACGTGCATAGGCGGACACGCACATGTGTGAATACTTAGTGCAGTTCACATGATTGTGCGCATGCCTCACCGCATCTCGGATTCACTTCGCTCTGTTCATGTCGATCAAGTTGGACACCACAACCAAAAATGCGTCTAGGGTTCTGGTCACGTGCTAACCTGATGTGGTCCAAGATAATTTCGAGTCGCGCGCAGTTTACCGATGGACCTCATTCGATCTGATTCAGTTGGGGAAGACTGTTTTACCTTACTTAACAGAATAGACGCCCTCCTTTATTTTGTTCGCTCTCAGCGTCAACAATATCTTTGCTGCCTGTTTTCAAAATGACCGAGGAAACTACAACCGTCCAAACTGATCTCACTCGCCATAATTCTAACACACTTTGCCATCCGTAACTCAAAAAGGACGCGGGATGCTTTCTCACATCTTTGACTAATTCATTACTTGACTAGACGGCAACAATTATATCTGAATCCTATACGTTAACTGATCTGTGGCCTAAGGACTAAGGCGTCCGTCTTGTAGCTACATAGGTGCGAACGACCTCGCAGTACACTCGCAGCTCATATGCAACTGGCGATGGTCGCACCGGCGTGATGCTGATGCAGTACTTGTTAAAGCTAGACGAGCTTCTTACTCTCGTATGCTTATGTGTGGACTTCCACGAAGCGGAGTCTTAACTGCGAAACGGACGGCCTGGTTCGACCCCCTACCATTTTCAAACATTACTGTAATTCTTTCACTTGTATTCTGTTTCTTCTCTGTTTTGCTAACGGCCGGCCCGTAGCCTAGAGGTAACGAGCATGTCTTGTAATTTTACGGCTCGAGTTCGAGCCTGCGTAGAGGCAGGACGACTCTGGCAAGTATCCTTAGCCCACGTGCGACCGGTGATGGTTGCGCGGTATCGAAGCGTCGGTACTGGCGTATTGCTGATGCCTTTCTTTTCTACCTGTTTTGCTAACGGTTATGCAAAAAGACATCAGCTGTACTTAGATACACGGTACTAACTCCTCTCTGCCTTGCAACCGCCACTAGTCGCCCGTGGGCCACGGATACTGCAATGGTCGCCCGGTCCCCTACGTAGGCTAGAACCCACATCCCCCAGATGAAAATGCAGGCTTGTGACCCTTTCAGCCACGGGTCGGCAACGGCTATACAGTCTTGAAGAATGTTGCCAGTGTCTTTCAATAGACGTTGCAATTATATTGCCCTTCCTCGAACCGAGGCTTTTGAAGTTTCTCCAAGGCATCATCTACGTTCTAAGGCTTTTTAACGTGCATGTCCAACCTTATTACCCCTCAACAGAAGTCCTTCAGATTCTTACAGTTCCCGGTGCAGGGCACTTCTGACGTTGGATAATAGCAGTTTGACGGATTCACTGTTAGCATACTTAATAAATGGTATATTTCTCGACAACACGAGACAGTCCAGCTCAGTTGTAAAGCAAGATCGTATAAAATAGATGACTGCATGTTATTCAGTGGGGTTTACAAATGAGTTTGTGATAAACGAAAGATGGATGTATTAAAATTGTTTATCAATTAAGAATAATAACCATTAGAGACATGACTAATCGTTCGAGTGAAGTAATGCGGCCATCCATGGAACCGTCTCCTGGAGACCTGATTTCATGCATGGTATTCCCTCGCACTCGCACTTCCATGCCCCAACTGTGTTGGGGTCGGTATTACATTCTCAAAATGTGAAATGAACAATGTGGCTTGTTGAACTTGTGTTCTTGCTTCTGTAGACTTGCAACAAAACAACCTTACTTTCACCCAAAAATGTTAGAGTATGCCCATTCGGAGCTGCGCAGTGTAACTCGGACATCAGCTGGAAAAGGTTTAACAGAATAACCTAGCCAAATGTTGTCTGGCGCGGTTCGACAAGTTAGCGCTTGAACTGTCGTTTAAATACCTCATACCTGATTTAGTTATCTGTCGATGTCATTGGTGCTAAGCTACGGTCAGTTCTTTTGGTTCTTTTCTCCCTCGGTGACAAACGGCTGTACTGTCACAAAACATGGAATGCTCCCACGTTCCTAGCTAGGCCTTGTCTCTTCGTGCTCTAATCAAGCCTAACAGAATCCGATTAATCATTGTGTTGTCCTACTCTGCTACTGGTGCTGTGCATCATCCACTAGTAGACTGTTCCCTTGTTTTGCAGTGGTCACTTGCACGTGTGTACTCGGCATTCGGCAACCAGCCTCATGCACACCCTGCCTCTAACCTTCAACGCCTCCGCTATCGTTGTGTTTTATTTTTTCCACATATGCCACAGCCGCCTGGTGCAACTTGTCCGACTTGTCCTGTCGGTGCTGCCAGCCGCTGGTTTGCTCCCCATTCATTTCAATGCACCCAGTGCCGTCTTTGGGATTCTGTTCCCTCTTCGCGCCGACGTTCCGCCTCCTCTTGTGTGTTGCGTCTTTCAAACGGGTCCTCACCCGTCCGTGACGGTTCGTTCACTACTCCCGAGTTCTTCAGCGGACATGCTAAAACTTGGCGGAGGCCACATCGCGTTTCAAAGTCACCGTCGGTTTTGGAAAACTCTACGGATTCCGCCAGTTGTAACTTCGTTGTGATCGCCTTCAGATATTTGCTTCCCCGACTCTTGTTGTTGCCGATTTTTCAGTTCTTCTACTTGCATGAGCTTATCAAAGTGAGTGGTGTATCTGTTCACCTCAAAATTTAGCACAGTCCCAAACCATGGAGCACTATCCTGCTTCGATGTATACCTCGGCTTCCATTGCATCATTGCTGACTCTCTGATGCACCGAGTGTGATGGTGGTTTTGATATATCTCTAGTCCTGCATTTGTTGGCGCAGCTTGCTTTGAAGCGTTTATTAGAGAACCTACATAAAATAAACCAAAAATGTCTATTCTCGCTGTTACACGAGTCACACCGTAGAAGACATGATCAGTTTTGTACAAGCAGATATGTGGCGATTTGTTTCATCAAATATTAGTCTCAACAAAGTTAGTGAATAGATTCATGAGATTCGACATGAGAGACGGTTGTGATAACTGTTTCCATATTAAAGTAGCGAATTGGATTGCGAATGCGAAGGTGTCAATAGGCACGAATGATGATATAGATGTTTATCCCAAGTAAATGTGACTCAAATTGACTTCGGTAAGTTGGAATGCTTTGACCTCGAACGGATTGCTTGCACCGCTCTCCGCGGTCACCTGTCCATTTCTCGCTCGCTTGTCAGATCTCCGCGCCTCAGATCTTCTTGCACAGTGTTGAACTCCTATCCGTGTCCAATTTAAGGAACCGAGAGCGTCATGGGAATGGGGATTGAAATTGCTGATTAAGGACCATCCGCCATTATTGCAAGGTTACGAGATTTTCAGACATGTTGACCGGCACCTGCGGAACTTCAACTGGATACTGATAGGAATTCAACGCGGTGCAATGAGATCTGACGCCATAGAATATGACGAGCGGGCGAAAAATGGACGACAGGTGACCGCGGATAGCGGTGCAAGCAATCGGTTCGAGGTCAAATAATTCCAACCTAGCGAAAATCAGTCTATCACTGATTCAACATTTACTTGTGATAAATATCTACATCATCATTCGTGCCTATCGAAACCTTCGCATTCGCAAAACAATTTGTTATTTCAATATTGGAAACAGCTATCGCAACTACATTTCATGTCGTATCTCATGAATCTATTCACTTACTTTGTCAAAACTAATATTTGTCAGAACTGAAATCGTCACATATCTGCTTGTATAAAACTGATCATCTTTTCTATGGTGTGCCTCGTGTACAAGCGATACTATACATGTTTATTTTATGTTACAACATATTCCATGTTTTGAGATGCTCCATCAGCCGATCGCACCGATTCATACAGTTGCTCACTAGTTCTATATCGATTCAACTTTGTTGCTATCCTAGCTAGCCCACTAACGCTCCTACCCAGTAGGACTGAGACTGCTTGTCCAATTGATCTCATATTCGCATAAGTTTGAGAACTGAGCACTTGTTTTCTTTCGGCAAGAAAACAGTCTTTTGCTGCATGTCTGCCCCCCGTTGTTCAATGTACAACCACTTGATGAGAGTCTGTTACATGCTATTTACTGTAATTGATTGTACTCTCTTAATCGATTCTTTTGAGTAGACGAATTTCTCAAATATTCTACAATTTCATATTTTTTTCTTTGATACTCTAGGAGCCCTCGGTTGTAGTTAAGGTAGCCATCTCAATTATCTCTACTTTTCCGCTGACTACTTAAAGTACCTCTCTTGAGTTACTTATCACCGTTCAAAACGGCTCATTCTATTTCTCATGATTACTCTTTTTGCCACAACCACAACCGAAATCGCACGGTCTTTTTTACTTTAATGCTCACTCTAGACGTTGCATGATTGTGCCTACGACGAATATGATCGCGCGCGTCTACATGAAGTCCTCAGCATGCTCAGGAAAACCCGATCTGGTTTGGAACGTGATTTGTCCAAAAATCCTTGGGTCTGTCTGCATTTGTCTCGTTTGATATCCACGGGTCATTTGGCAGGTCAGTATCGTGCGCTGTACATGGACCTACTCGCCGGTTCCAGTTTGCCTGCTAGCCCGGGAGCTCAGCCTTCTTCTCCCTCGGACACTACTTCCACCGCAGGCGGCTCTCCTTCATCCATGACCAGCGTTGTGGGCAGTCAAACACAAACGTTTAAATATCCATCAACGGCTGTGGATTCCACTGAATTTTGCGCACAGTGCAGTAAAGCGGAGGAAATCGAACGGCTTTTGGGAGGCAAGGTAAAGTTAGCCACTCTGACAAATGGTCGACAAAATTTGGGCGACTTTGTCATGGGTGAGTCGTCTGTGCACCCTTTCACATTCCATTTTGCTTTCTCTTGTACGTATTTCAATCGATCCATGAAGTTGTATTGCGCGTCAGTGAGAGTTTGAAAGAATGGCTCATCCATGGAAATCTCATTCCCGTCTTCCGGTCAGACTGTGCTGCTTCAGATCGAGGGGACATCCGTTAACGGAGGATATAACCCTACTACAATCTTCTACACTTCACCCTGAACAACGTGCATGTGTGAAGCTGATATGGATATAGCACATGCATATTCCCATCTAATATGTAGAGGGAACTAAATGAAAAGTTGTAAATATTTTGATTTTTCCCCATGGGGGAATAGTCTCTCGCATCGTTGAGAAATAAAAGTACTAGTACTACAAAATAAAAGATTTATTTGTTTATTTAGTAGAAGCCCGGCTATTGGCCCCGCTCTAATGGCTGCACATTTTCATACCTACTTGTACCGAAATGAAGCAACACTGGGATTGCATTGTCCGATCCTGCACTACTTTTTATAATTTGATTCAGAAGTAATCTGATCGCGCAAGCTACCATAAGCAGGCAACTGCACATAGAAGCCGCTTCCAGTTTACTTTGCAGAAAGAAGACAACTGTTGCGAGATGTTAACATTTCGATTGTTCTTCTTACTCGCAAACAATACGTACAACATGTAAACGAATGAGTATGTGTGAAACTAACGTTCATGAACAGGATGCAACAAGAGAATCAACGCCACGGCAATCTAGTAGATTGCCTCAGTTGTTTCTGTGCACACATTACTGGACGATTCTTCGTGATCAACAGTGCCTCGCTTATAACCAACCGTTTTGGATTCGTATCCCGCAGAAGTATTTTGAAAGCGGTCGATATGTCCACGTGATGACTAGTCATCACGCGATACTTTGCGATAGATGAAGCAGGGTTCCTCTTTGTCACTCCATCCACTCCGCCTTGTTGTGACATCGATTACATCAATCAAATTGGGTGTTCGGACACTTCTTGGGCCAGCTGCTGGTCAGTTCTGCCAATGTTTACGTCATCACAACTGCAGGTGAACTGGTAGATTGCCTGAAAGACTAGACTGTCCAACAAACCGATGGTGTTGTAGCGCTATTCTCCGAGTGATGTGGACGAGTCGCAACTGAGAGGCTGTCTGTGTTTCATAGCAGACCTGGGTTTGCGTCTGCGACACAGTAGCTGAGGCGTTTCCCACCTCTAGCTAACGTGTATAGTGTGTGTGTGTGTGTGTGTGTGTGTGTGTTTACGTCCAATATCGTTTGCGATATGGTCACCTTTGAATGGCAACAACAAATAGTCAGGTTTTTTTCTCTGCCGTATGCACCATTGGCTTCACTTTTGGTGTTCTGCTGTGGATCTGGATAAACCTTTCCGGATACCCAATGGACTTTGTTAGTGGTGCTTGTTTATTCTGGATTTATCGGACCCTTTGGTGTTATACCTGGCCCCTGGATTTGCAGTTTAGGATTATTGAAATGTATCCGCATTAAGGAGAGGGACTAACATGACAATCGGAAATTTTCACCATTTTGGGTTTCCATACATAATTCACAATTATTCACAGTGGAAAACAGCTGTGCAAACGAGGTTTGAAAAGGAATGCGTCTTACAGCTCAATTTCAATTCGGTGAAGCATACGTAACTTTCTCTTCGAAGTTTCCAAACTCATTCCGTATGAAAAAAACTTTGAAACGCTGTATCTCGACTCGTGATTGACTTAGAGACTTCATTCAAGTTGTAAATTGGTACATACTTGGTCTATAAACTTACTTTTTATGATACACAGCTTGAAAAAAGATTTCATTGGTCAGTTTATAGAGCACGTTTCTTTCGGGCAATCAGCGTACTCGTTTCATAACAACATACCGGTCGCTAAGTCGCGGCGTCGGTCCTTGTCTGTTGTTATGCGGACGAAGCTATTTTACGGCTTTGACAAAAGATGGTCTAAGTATAGGCAAAAGAAAGGTTAACCGAGGTGACAGACCAAGAAAACGTATATTTCGTGACAATCGGTACTCTAAGAAGTGGGAACAAGTAGCTGGAAGTGATGTAATTTATGGTTTTGATGAAAAACCGAACCATATACGTCTGCTTCTAGAATCAAACTGGGACCTCAAACCTCACAGGTTGAGTTTGATAAAACTGAAGAACTCATAGATTTTCCTTTTTTCGGTGTTCAGCTTCTCACTAAGTTAGTAAACATTTTACTGGGCAGTCAGTGGTCGGGAACAAGTCCTATGTAACAAAGAGCGAAGCTCGCTTGCCTCAAGGTTCACTGTCAATGTCAACATACCGTTTCTTTTATGTTTATGTTGGCAAAATATGAAGTCGACAGATGGTATCAAGCTAATCTCTTTGCTATAGGAAGGAACTTTATGCATAACAAGAAATTTCTTGCCAATATGAACATGCCGAGTAGTATGCATAAAAGTAGTTGATCCCTTTCTAGGAGGCAAATTCTTCAGGCTACAGAAGTAGTTGCACATATAAGTATGCAGAGAGTTGCATCTGAGATGAAGGGAAAAAAACAAGAAGCCATAACAGTCTCCTGTGATGTCACATGGCAGAGAAGTGGGTTCCAGAGCAAAAATGGTGTAGTCACTATTCTAACAGTGGATGGACACAACTCAAAAGTTCTGGGCACGTCAGTTCTGACTAATTATTGCAACCATTGTGCAAAACGCAAGATGAAAACTGGGACCAAGTTCCAGGCATGGAGAATTTCCGATGTTCAGAACTGTGATAAGAATTACAATAGATCCGCAGGCGGCATGACACCAGCTGGAACACTAGAAATGCTCAGGCGGAGTGAAAAGTTCTATGGTCTGCGCCCTCTTTCCTTTCTTGGAGATGGAGACTAAATCATTCAGATCAGTTGCACATGCAGTACCTCCGGTGTATATTGGTATTGATATTGCAAAACTGGAATCTTATACGCATGTGCAGAAGGGAATTGGGCGACACCTTACTAATAAGGTAACTGAGTTGAAGAAGGAAACCTTTACGCACACTGGCAAGAGTGTTCTTGATATTGGTGGATGAGGCTTTCTGACAAAAAAGCAATTCTAAACATTCAAGGACATCATCGTGTTGCAATACATAGAAACACCGACAGTGTTTCTCAGATGCTAAAGTAATCTGCGCTATATGGGAGCACAGGAACCGTTACTATATCAACTGAGATTGGTGCCCCTCCACGAATCAGCTTGCTTCAGATCCTGATAGAAATACTTTTCATCCCTATGTCTATGAGGCCATAACATCTGTCTTTGAAACTCTCACCAGTAAGACATTGCTGTCCAAGTTTGCTCATACAGTGGCACAAAGTACAAATGAACGTTTTCATAATTCCATTTGGCAAAGATGTCCAAAGACTAGTTTTGTTGGAAGGTCTAGACTGACTCTCGCAGTTTATGATAATACAATAGTTTTCAATGATGGAAAGAGGGGTAGGCTACCCATATTTGAGATGCTTGGTATGCCTGCTGGATTTTATATCAGACTATGTTTCATTGAGCTGGACAGAATAAGAATAAACTCAACAGCTAAAGGAGTATCATCAAGTGAACAGCAAGCACGGAGAATAGCGGCTGTCATGGATGAGAAAGACACAGAGGTTTTTTTACTTTGCTGGTGCTCATGACTAGTCCAGATTAGTCCTACTTCATAAATCTTATCTTGGGACATCACAAAAATTATATACATGGTTTCTGTTCTAGATATGGGAGACTGACTCACATTTACAAACTTTAAAGCTCTTTTCCTCAATATAACATTTTCGGACCCATGCGTTACCGTTGTCAGGATAACTTCAAAACTCTTGGGCCAAATTAGATAAAATTTGGACGATATACACTTCATTACTATTTGCTTGCAACGTGCTAAAATCAAAGGTCCCACATTTGTGGTCTACATTTAACATGAGTTCAACTTTTATGCAACTTTTGGACATCCGTGTAAGAAAATCTAACCTACACACAGACTTGAGTCTAGTGTAGATTACAGCCTAACCCTACCTGAGCAGCTACGCAAACTTTTAGCTGCATACATGGAACAGCTTTTAGTGGGAGTGACAACGCTACTGCAATAAATTTACTCATCGCCGAAATAGGTACCTTGATCAAGATGAAATAAACAAATAAAACTTTGTTGATCTGTTAGTTATTATCTGTATGACATATAAGGAAGGTCCATGCAAAATTTCATAAAAATCTGATTAAATTTAGGTATCTTTAACCAGTAGCAAAAAGATTGCATCATCTATGATTTTCCAACTTGTTCCCTCCCCTTGACTCGGAAAGTCGTATTCGGCACTGCAATGCCGCGCAACCATCACCCGTTACAATCAGCTTTTGTTGCTCTAAAGCCTCCTCTGCCTACGCGGGCTCGATAATTTTTTCAGTTACGTTATTTTTTATGAGCTTTCACTTGTTCGTCTCAGCAGCTCACAGGCCAGATGGTTCAATCCCCAGTGCAGAAAAGCACCAGGTGATCCTTTCGCTCTATTGGCATTCATCAGTGGTGCGCATTTCCTCGGCCCCTTACAGGGAACCGAACCCATGAGCGCTAGCAGCTTGCACCAACTAGCCAGCGGCTTATACCACTGAGACATAGAGGATGGTGACAGACTGTTATAACTTACAAGTTAACTGTGATACAGTGCAACCTATCCTCTACAGCCATGCAGCTTCATACCATTACAGAGGACAGTGGCTGGCCTCTAGAGCTCGCTACTTTTAATACACAGCAGCTGTGTCCCCACATCATTTGAAAACTTTAAGGACGAATCTAGAATTAGGTTGCTGTTGACAAGCATGACTATCGGAAGGCTTCTAGCGAACTCACTTGTTTACTGGTCTATGTTCAGTTCTTTGACTCACCCCAGTCCTTACATATGCTTTATACTATGGTCTATCCTTTCTACAGAAGGTCGTGTTCAAGTATCAACGGAGTTTAAACGATGGACCACAGAACATGTGGCATATTTGTTTACAGGATTTTTACTGATTTGCAAGTGGCAAGAGCGACGCTCTGCACTAACCCCGAATTCTGCCCCCACTGCTCTACTGCGCCTGAAGCATCGAATACCTCTGGATCTGATTCATCTCACGGACCTATGTCCTATAGTTCAACCAAACCTACCTTCTTACCTTGGCAACCATGGTACTTTAACTTCCTCCGCCGTGGGCGCCGCTGTCCTTGCTGCATCAGGCTCTTGTCACAGCTCAGTGCACGATATTTTAGGCACAAGTCTTTCCAACATGGACCTCTCAAACCCCACTATGGTCTCCAGTAAGTATGCACTTATCTCCACAGATATTTATTAATTTATTTACTTGCTTACTTATCATTTGTTTATTTTTCCTGATTTATAATGTCGTCGCTTCATTTTGCGGAGTCGGATACCTGTTTGTGTATTTGTGGTTGTTTCCCGGTTCTCAGTCTTTGGCTGCATACCTTTTGTCACTATGTCCATCTTTCGCTGCGGACTATTAAATAGTGTTACTTGTGTTCGTATTGGGTAAGTCTGCACACACTAAGAGCGCCTTTTCATGTTTCTCTTCCGCAGACCTCGTCGCATCTGGTCTTAATGGACCTTTGGCTAGTCAATCCAACCTTCACAGTGCCAGCGCTTCAGCGTACTCTTATACTTTCAGATTAGAATACGTGGATTGCCCCCAGCCCGTTGGAAATCTCACTCCACCAACATCTGCTCAGTGTCATCATAATGTTCGAAATCCTAGTCCTCAAAAGCACATCACGAAATGTGGTCGTTGCGGTCTTGGTTGTACAGATCCTACCTTTCAAGAGCTTGATGTAGTCAGCACCTCCTGCTTGGCACCTTATAACGACCCAAGTGGTACGCACGCAGGGCCGCCATCTCACCATATCATTCTTGCACTACGCACCCCCGAGGAGAAGGCCGATTGGATTGCCAGTCTTTCGAGCATTCAATTACACCGGTGAGTATCATCAGCTTTTCATGTCTGGTGCTGGTCTTTGCAGCTTCCAGAATCGGTTCCATTGTGTCCGTGGCACTGGTCGTTCCATGATGACTTCCATTTTATGACACAGTGACTGTCGAAATTTATCGTTTGCTAAAACGGTGATACACTCGCGCTTACTCTCCATACGTTCTAGATCATTCAGTTATCATTTGATCGAAGCATCCTTTTAAGCAAGCAATTCCACCGCATCTTTGCGAAATCGTGCACAGTTAAGGGGAGCCATTAGCTTTTTTCACCCGTTCATGCTCACTCACTGGATGTCCACTCTGTATTTTCATATGGTTAGTTCTTTATTTTCTCCCCATCACGATGCCACTGCTGTTCGATGCGGTTCATTGCTTTAATTCCGCGTTCTAATAAGCCCCATGTGGATGTCACTTTATAAGTGTTTTCATGACCACCCCCACTAGGTATGCCAGTGATTGTGGATTGGACACGGGATCGGTTGGCCCTTTATAGAATAAGTTCCGTTGGTGTGGGACTTGTGCTATCATTTGTCACTGACGTTAGGGAAACACAGTCGTTGCTCACTGGTCTGGTATCATCCGTCTCATGCGTAACAGCCCTTACTCCGTAGGATGCGAACCACCAAAGCTTACGCACAGTTGATCGTGATCACATGGGTGAGAGCTTCAATCATCGAAAAATATTTGTTGACCTTTATACAGTAGTTGTGTGGGATCATCATCAAGAAGCTTCTCATGTAGCTTCATTCACCATCAGGTTGGCCTGCTCCCCACTACCTTGCATGTCGTCCTGTTGAATCACGGTTTCCGGATGGAATCCCTAAGGACCAGAGATAGGACGCATCGAACAAAGCCCCTTTTTCTGAATTGCCAATTTGAGAGTTGTGTTTTCCCATCGAATTCTTCCGTCCTCCTACACTAGTCCGTCTCTATTCTGTTTATTCACTAGCGGCCATTCGGTCTTAACCTTGCAATTTGTGTTGTTGGCGCACTTCAAGAGTCCTGCAAACTTATGAGCGCATTTCACATCGGATCTTTTGAAGTTTGCGCACGATGTTTGCTGAATCGAAAGGCAATCTCTGCTCCGACTCAGCATTCCATTGGTATCGTCATACCCTGTATCTCCGAGACGCGCACAAGACTGCAACGTTTTCATAGACTTGACTATCCGGCCCATATTCCACTCACGAGGACTGTCCTTTGCGTCTCCGAGGTACCGGGTCGATGACTTGGGATATTTGCATTGTCGATATTTAGCACAACGAGAGGGCTGAGGACAATTTTCTCAGTTGGATCCTTAGGAATGGCTGCATATGCATTGTTTACTTTCGATTCTCCAATTAGACCAATAAGTGGTGTCAGAAGACTCAGTTCATAGTAATATTTCTGACGTACCCTCTCACCACCTACAGTTTGGAAGCCATTAGAGAGCGATTCCACCAGTAACCGTCATCCTTCATACCTATGCTACGAATAGAGATTTCGTGATTGCGGCTACTGGCATGAATTGCCTAGTGGAGACCAGATCTAGAGGCCATCTAGGAGCCGATGCTTATCTTATTGATAGGGCTGATCGGTTTCCTCACTTTTGTTCCGACAGCACTCATTGCATGACCGACACAACCTTGAAACGGCAGCGTTCGCATCGCGTCGTCTTGTGTCCACCAAAGGAACCAGAGCCCAGGACGTAGACTGAGGTCGCTGCTATTAGCTACAGGTGGTGCATTTCGTTGCTAAATTATTAATTGATTCGATGCACCGTTTTTATTGAAGTCGCGGCTTAATGCTCGCTCGGATGAGGTTCACTTGACCCCCATGGTGCACTCATTTCCTCCCAAACACCTTTTCTGTTCCAATCGGGGGAGCTTCTACTGTTGAAGAACGTGAATAAATTCAAATCCGGTTGGTGTTATCTTTGACGCTCCACGAAGTAGGCGTTGAGACCCGCTTGTTCGACTAAACTGCGATACAAATGGTGGATCATATTCATTGGCTAGTTTCGACAAGACGCATTATGAGTCTTTTATCACTATCCATCCATTCGACACGTCAACTGAAGGTGGCAAACACAGGCATCCTGCTGCGATGCCTTTCGATCAAAAAAGAAAAATATGGCACAAATACATCATGCTTTGTCTGCTACACATCAAGAATTTGACTACATTATTTATGATTGGGAGTTGGTTTTAATGTATGTTTTTAATGTATTCGTCCCAGCAGCTCACAAGCTACCTAGCTCAATCACAATCCGGAAAGGTATCAGACGCGTATCGCCCTATTGGGGCTCGTCAGTGGTGCGCATTTCCTCGATCCCCTACTGGGGATCGAATCCATAACCGCTAGAGGCTGACGCCAGCTAGCCAGCAGCTTAAGCCACTGAGCAATGGAGGATGGCAGCTGTGCTAGATAATTTACAAGTTAACTGAGATATAACACGACCTATCTTCCATTACCACGTAGCTTACTACTCTTGTAGTTGACATCGGCTGATGTTGCATTCATGATGCTTCTTCACCACAGTTGGGATGAACCAAGTTACACTTAAACTAGGTCTTTTTAAGCCCGATAAATTTCAGTCCACTTTATTTGGTTTGTTCTGCCTACCTGAATAATCTATTAACTGGCCACGTTGCTTACGCTAATTGTGGTTAGCTTCGTTAACTTTATTGTGTTTGTAGCATTTTTTGAATAACTTCTGGACATTTTGTACTTATCGCGGATTCCTTGCTTACCAAGTTACTTCATATACTAATTTAGGGAAGAGTTATGTCTGAATAGCCGTATTCTTTAACAGATATATTTTGTTTGATAATGTCATTTCAACTGATTGGCTGTTGTTTGACATCCCCGGTGTAGCTGCGCTTGATGTGAATATTGATAAGGTGCCTACCTGTCTGTTACCCACTACCTCATCCATACTGGCTCTAGGAGACAGTTGGTCGTTGCTGGTCGTGTTAGGCTCGAAGAGTGGTTCCCTGCACTCAGTGTGGAGCCGACTACGCCTTGTGTGCGATTGATTCCCAAATGCAGCGTGCTTGTGTTTGCCTGTGAAGGAGTATGGGCCGGCTCCGTTGATGAAACGTGGCTCCCATCCACATGCTTTCCGGTCTTTTTCCTTCGGGTTTACACTGGATATGCGGTGTGTGGTTGAAGCTGTGGGTGGTGCAACGCAAACTACCCATGCTCCCTCTGTAGGCGCAGGCGTCTTGTGGTTGGTCACAGTGACAGGGAAATCCGAAACCGGATACCGCCAACCATATATATAGTTGACATTGGCTAGCCTTCAGGTCATGGCTTCCTCTCACTAGACACTATATCCATAGCATTTAAAACTAGGATTGGGGTTGAGCTATGTAGCTTGTGAGCTATTGGGACGAATGCATTAAGAATTAGATGATGCTTGAAGGAGAAGGAGGCTAAGCGGTAGTGGTATGTACAAAGAAACTAGCAACACACGGACCTTTGAAGTCCGCTTTTGGTCATATCATCATCTTTGAGCCTCAGTCCGAGAGTCGGAAGGGACCAATCAAGACCAAAGCCAAGTTTGGAGCGAGTTTTTATTTGCCTTCTTTGCCCACTTTCCTTCTTCCATCCGAAAGTCGGTCACTCAAATAACGCACTTCGCGAAATTTGGTGTATTGGCATGGCTCAGTCATCGATGCTTGATATGCAAACCAGCTGTGCTTAGCGCTTCACTTGCTTTTGCCAATTTAAAATGAAGCGACGAACACATTCATTGCTCACTCGGTGTTCTTACCAGATATGAGGTAAATTGCGAAGACAACCTTGCTTCATCTGTCTATCTGGTAAGTCATGTTTCTCAACCTTAGAGCAGAGTTGTACGCATGGCAGCATTCTAGACTTTCCTTCATATCGAGGGTAGCATCGCGTCCACGCCACAAGTGGCGCGATTAATGACTTCTTCTATTGCACAGACGCTGATATAGCCGCCTATATGGTTGAATTTATTGGCAACTTCTAAGTGATTCCCACGAAGGGTCAGCGCAGGAGTTCTCCTTGTCAATCGTGACAGAATATCTGCTATTTTTATAGTGCAAATCACAATCTGAAACAAATGACAAGCAATGATGCTCTGCAGGTTTGTATATGGTGTCACAGTTTGAAACAAAATCGTCGGCGTGCCTACTCCATAGTTGGGACCTCGGTCAACTAGATGCAACTCCATTCAGTATAAGCTTATTACGTTGAACGCAGTTCCATAATTTCGTCAAAGGCGAAGTTTACTAGAGAGCTGACAGCAGTCAACCTTGCTTCGCACTTCTGGAGATATTGAAGAGCGGTGACGGTTTACGATAAATCCTCACGTTGCCCGAAGCAAAGCGTTCTTGTAATATTGATCTTTTCGGGCACACCTTTTTTAGCCAGACGGTTCAAAAGGGCATCTCGATCCATTGAATCAATGATGCTTTTGATGTCGAGGAACATGACCAACATAAGTTACGAATAGATTTGTCGCTGCTCCAACAGCTGATATGAGGGTTTGGTCAATACATCCTCGGTTTCGGCGAAATCCGGCTTGCTTTTCTCGAATCAGCTTTTCACATGCACCATTCAGTTTATGCAGAAGGACAGAGGCAGACCACTTCTTTGCGGTGGATATCGGGCTGCTCCCTTAATGACCAGCGCACTATAAACGTGACCCCCGTTCCGAATTCGGGACAACACTGGAGCAGCTCCAGTCTGTTGAGACAGCTTCTTGTTCGCACAGTTTCGTTAGTAAATCGTGTAAATAGTCCACAAGAGATGATTTCCCGATGTTGAAAAGATCCATCTGATCTTGCTGCCTTACTCATGTTCAGCTATTCGATCACACTTTCAGCTTCTGGGCATGCTGTTGAACCCAAAGGGACACTCCATAGAGCCTGATCGTTGTCCTGCAAGAGAACTGGCAATTCTCGTCGACTAACTTGCTTTCTTAATTGTTCAGCATAATTTATTAAACGTCTTGGCAGGTTATGGATGTAGTTTCACTAACGTCAGGCCTGTTGCCTGTGTCTACCATGAAGCGGAATAGCTTCCGATGATTACCAAGAGCAGCGTTCATTTTCATTGCCGATGCGTGTTGCGACCACCTGGCTTCGCTCATATTAACACACAGATCTGTTTCGAGAACTTTCCGAGTGTCATCGTAATCGCCTCCAAGCGGGACCTATCGGCGAACATCGAGTAACTCCAGAGACTGCGTAGGACTAATTACCCAGGCGTTTAGTCGAACTTGCCACACGAAAGCATACCTGCTGTTAATATCGTTTGGTGAACATGTGACCAGTGACTTTCAACTATGTTCACTGAGCGCTCACTCAACCAGTATGCCAGCGTGTTTTTAGAACACCTGACTTTGACCCTTGGCAAGTGTCAATGCGCTCACTGTGACATTGTTGGTTTCCGCCAAAACGCACCAGGGGATCATCACACGATGCGTGACTCAAATCGAATGGCAGTTTTAAACTCAGCCTTTCCAGCGGCAATAGGTCGCAGTGTGATCGGTTTGCGTCCATTGCTGGTCCGAGGCTGGTGGCTGCCATGTGACCTTGTGACTGATACTACCTCGGCAGTTAGGGCTCGTGAGAAATAGGCGTGCATCTTCACACAAGTGTATCACGGGCTCACCGTTATCATCAAGAGGTTTTGCACCATGTTGGCCGACCAAATGGAGCTCATCATTGGAAATGTTTCTGACTTGATCGTTCGATCGCCAGCTAGCATTGCAGTATCAGTACTTCTTCTGTGGCGAGGGAACACGTTCATTTGCTGATAGTTGTCTTCCACGAGGTCAAAGCTACAGTTTGTGTTGGCGTAGACCGCAATGATAAACATGCATCTGTTCCCTCATTTTGACTTCGACGTTTTGAACAATGCTACGAAACTGACGACGCACATTCGGCTCCTGACTGGGATCTAGTCGATCAGCTTCAGCCGCGGAACTCAGCCATTCTCACACTGGTTTGATCAGCATTTTTAGCTGCGTTACTTCTAGATGAGCGCAATGAGAAAGTGATACCCGCGTTGCATGGAGATCGGGGAACGAGTGCAGAGCTTGAGTCTTTTTGGTGGGTTTCTACTGAGCAACAGCTGTCGATCGCTATGGCCTTCAATTTTTGAGCAAGTGTTTCCTCTTGACCGATCTGCAGGAAAATGTCCACTTTGGGACATACCGATTTTAGCGAGTATTAAGGGTTGCAGTAGAAAGTGTTGGAAATGCGACTTTCCGACTGGGTGGAAGTGCTTATATGCAGAGTGACAGCAGAGTGAGTCGAACATAGGTGACAAATGTTTATCAAAGCAATGTGCTTAGAAGGGGGCAATAATTGAAAGGTTAGAAGGAGTGGGTGGAAGGAAAGCTTTAACGGAATGATAAGAGTGAAGAGACATTTGAGAGGAATAAATAGACAGGAACGTTTGAGCAGTCGTAATCTCACCCCCTACCCCACCGTGCCCGATGTGGTGGATAGGGAAAAATTAAAGAAGGAAAGACATTAGCAGTACACCGGTACGTCGGAACGACGCTTCTCTGCCCTGCGACCACCCCCTAGTTTCACGTGGGCTGAGTACAATGTGAGGTTGCTAGTGCTTACACAGATCCGAATTGGTGACTCTTACCGGCCAGGTGCCGTATTGTTTCGGTCATCGATCGATGATAAGCTGGATTTGGCTCCGTTGAGTGCATCTGCCGTGATCAACAGGTTGTTTGAAGGTGTCATTGCATTACATGGGCAGGTTCAGGAAACCGCAAGGCGGCAGGAGTCGGGCATTGGGCTACATTGAGTCCGTTGGAAGAATGGTTTCTGAGTTTTCACAATCCCAGGATATTCTTACTATAAGCCTCAGGGTCGATCGCAGTATCTGAGTGATTGATGCATTTGTTTTAGATGGAGGACTCAGTGCCGTCGGGGGAACAAGCGAAGCTGTTGTGACTCATCTAAAGCGCTAAACTAAAAGTAGCCCCTTTTGAGCGCAACAGTCAGATAGACGCTTGCCCTCCATGCGCGCTTGTTCACATCACTGTTTTGCGGCTTAGTTGATGTTTCAGATACACATATCTGTTCTCTGGTATGCTTTCTACTTGGAGTTCCAATCGTATTTTCTTACTGTACTCGATTGCTTCGTCAACTCTGTTTACGCTACCTGTGTTTGGATACCTTGCTTACGTTTCGTTTCCTTCTTTTACCGGTTCTCAGTCAACTCCTTCGTTACATCCGAACTTTGCCGAAAATCGAGATCCCACTTCGCCTACCCTGTCCCACAATTTATCGGTGAGCGCCAGCCCATATCCGATCTGTACCGTTTGTTTGTTTGGGTAACTGAAGCATTTGTTTTGTACCCTCTTGTATTTGTCATTTGCATTGAGTTCTGTCCTGGTTTCGTAAACACTGTAGCTTTTATTACTCCTTTACTTTCCTACTGATCCATCCATATATCGCTTTGTTCGGTGCCTTGTAGATGAAAAGCGCACTTATGAATCGCACCTCCTCCATTGATATTTCTCCCAAAGGTTTATAATGCAGTTAGTGCCATTCGCCTGATTCAAGAAGCTTCAGTAACCTCAATGGGGTGACTCTTCATCGCTTACTGTGCAAGTGCATCTAAGAAAAGGACCCTAGCGTTGAGTTAGTGGATTGGTTGTGACCACCATAGGCGTAAAACAAGGTACACCCAACCACGCTAATGACGACCATGGAAACAAACAAATAATTGATTGCGTAGAAAGACCTGGTCACACAGTGGCCCGTTCCCTCGCTATTCGCTTCCTCATCGGCAGCCCAACAAACAGGCATACTACTCTGGATATATAGTTCCTTTCAGGTTCGACAGCAACAGTGGTCGTTTGCCATTTCTCTCGCGATCTTTAATCCTCAGCACTTGAATCACGTGAGCAATACCGTCTTTGAAAGCAAGATTGACTACTGACTTTAACTCCACAGATTAACGCGTATGCCTCACACACTATATCGTCAGTTGTAGATCTCGGTACAATTCATCATAGTCTGTACAGCTTTTATTGTGGCATTTAGTTCGGTACTCAATAAGCGAACACTCGTAATGCGCACCGAGCCACCACAACCTATTCTTCTTGATGTGGCCATCTGGTACACTGCGCGAGTCTCACCATACACATATATTTCCAAAATCTATTATTTCTTCCTGCTCCTTTTACCTATCCCTCTCCCTTATCGCCCTGAGCTTATCTAGTTGGTTTGCTAATGAGTTGGGCTAAAGATATTGGCATTCAATGGAAATGAAACAAAATATATCAAATGCGACTTAGCTGGTTACTGAGATCTCACAGTTACTGTTGTCTTTGCAGGATACATGCCTTACACAATTCACAATTTGATTCATTCTATCTACCTAGATTTGCTCAACCGGACACTGCGGATAACATCATTTTTGAGGCGACTCTGGATTCTTCTGCTGATGTTCACGATTCGTATACTTCTTCTGAAGATGGCTTCGAGGAAGATGATTGTGTCGGTGTTGATTCAGAGGATTTCATGAGTGATATAGCATCCACTTGTGACTCTCTTGACGAAAAGACATCCCCTGTATGCCGGATGCGCGACTCGGTTGCGACAGCCGCATGTAAAAGCACGGTCAAACTGAGCGGCACATACCTGGACGACGGTAGTGATTCCGCTACGTTGACTTCAAGCGTCACACTGAAATCGATTCCCGCCAATCTGAACATGCGTGCGACCGCTGAAGAGCCTATGGTGAACACGAACTTGCTCAATCGAAGCTGTCCAACCGTCTCCAGATTCCCCTTGCTCATTCGGATGGCAACTCTCGAAAAGCTGGTTGAACGTTTGGCCTACCCTACACACTTCGATACACGTTTGGTAAACACGTTCCTACTTGTGTATCGTCGTGTAACAACTCCTGAAAATTTATTAGATTTGTTAATTGAGCGCTTTCGGATTCCGGACCCCGAGTTCTCCCCAGATGAACTAGAATGCGATCCACAGAAGGGTCAGCTGGAATCCCCGGCCCAACATATGCTGAAGCGCTTTCGCTCTGGTTACAAGAAGAGAGTTCAGGCGCGGTGAGTCCAATCTTCGTTTATTGTTTATGCTTCTCGGCTCTGCAGATAACGCAGTCTTGCTTTATCAACCAACCTATCTCCTGTTCAGCACTACTTGCTCACTAGCCTTATTTTGTAGCACGGTTTTCACTCAATCTCTATTGCTGGACCCAAGGGACTGTCACTCGTCCCCAACGGTAGAAACGCGGTTTTTTGCAGTTATAAGCTCAAAAATGGTTCCGTTGGAACCGGTATACTCGCCTTTTATTACTAGTCTCACACTGGTGTTTTTAGCGGCTCTGTTGTGTTCGACCACTAACGTTCACCGTCCTCACACGAGCCATAGGTTCACAAAATGTGCATATACTCACTGACGTAGTCCCTTTATAGTGTCATGTGATTTTATTCACCCTTATTCGTCGTAATTGCTACGTTACTGTCGGCCGGCTCGGAACCGATCCTAGTCTCCTCTTTACAGTCTTCACCTTTCGATTTTGTATTTGATGTTTGTTGCGTTGTTATACCCTCGCGCATCATCATGTTCCCTTTGCAACTGCGGGCGCCCTGTAATCATTCGTGGTCGTAATGACATGCGAATCAGAGAAGGGCTTCTTCCAACTTACCGAGTTTTTATGCACCCCACGCCTTTACAACCCACATCATTATCTAAGCTCCACTACGATATTTTAGCGCCTTTCTGCTTGTCCTCGGAACCGTTCTTTTTGCTTGTTATGGTACCATGGTCCTCTGCTTTTCTCTTACTTTGTGACCCTTCCGTTGAAGTAACTAATTCACTTGGCCCATGGTTTCATCGTTCCAGTGACGGAAAATGTAGTCACCGATTCTATTTAAAGCGCTTGTCAGCGCCACCTCATTTCGTGTTATTGTCAATTGATTCATCACCCAACTTCCACATATTTTCCTCACATGGGGTTTTTCGGCCTCCGATATTCTCACCTGCTTCCTTGTGTTTCATGTTGCCTGCAACCGTTCTGTCCATGCACTGCAGCAGTTTTCTCGCGATTTCGTCGCAGTGAGACTAGACCTTAACATGTTATGACGGTTTGCATATCTCTTCGACCCATTGAATTACACTTGGTGGTGCTTCAGGGTCCCTTGAGAGCTACTACTACCAGGTTGATCAATGGTTGGAGGTCATATGAGCTTAAACTCCTTATCCTCCAGATTAAGGGTCGAAAATGGAATGGCATCCGTTTCTGTACATCCAGATCTCGGCCACCTCGCGCCGCCTTACGGATAAGCCTTTGAATCAGAAGCTTTGCCTAAGGGCTCTAATCGTTCCCCTGTCTAGGTTTGGGAACCGTGGCAGTATCTCAACCCACATACAACCATGACTGTTTCATCAGCCATCAATCACATCCTGCATCGGTCGGCGCGCAGCTTCAAATGGGTCGCCTTGTGTGTTGTTTACAGCAGGGCAAATAAGCCAAAATATGCCACTTTTGATGTATCCTTACTTCTTCACCTGTTTCTTTTACTTCTCTTCGACCCATATTACTAACATTCCTTCCATACTTCCAAGCTTGCTTGACAGCAGCCGCAATACCACACTGGCGTCATACCATCTGTAGCTATCTTCCCACGTCATCCATTGAACTTCTATAGTCAACTGCTCCTTATTAAAGCCACGCTGTCCCGTTTCTCTGGCTGCGTTCAATGCTTCATACTCCAAGACAAAAAGGTCAACAGGCTGCACTAGCACGCACGTTGAACACGCTGGGTATTATGTATCCGAAACTAGGATCAATGACCCTAATGGCGTTATGGAGTTAACTGCGCCCGACTTGTTCTCTCGCTATTGCTTGCACGCATCCGAAGACGCTGATGCAGCAATCACTGATCAAGCTAGAGTGGGCATCGTTCTCAGCTCCAAGGCTGAGTCATCGTTGGTTGATTTGATTCTGGTGAACAGCCGTTTGTGTGCGGTCCGTTTGACGACATCAACTAAGCTTGATCCACTAAGTTACACTACGTTCTGTTTGTTTCTGGTTGCCGCTTATGCCCTCATGACTGTAGTTCTGATCCTGCCAATGACATCTTCCACCACGAATTTAACACACTATTTCGCAGTGTAACCGTTTCTTATATCCTTGTCGATGTAGGGAATATGAGTGCGCAGGTTGGTCGTCTGAGCTCCTCAGAAGCTGCGCTAGCTGAAAACTGTACGCTTAGATCCAAACGGACAGACAATGGGGAGCGTCTGTTGCATCTGTGTGCGTAGCACAAGAGGTTTCTTGGTAGCAACGCTCTTAGTCACAGTATGTGCCGAAGTGTCACTTGACATTCTTCGATGGATGGCCTCAAATAGACCACGTTACCATAGCACGTAACAGCTTACGTGGTTCCATCCTGGATTGCCGGTCGTTCTTAAATACTTGCGTCGACTGCTCATGCCTTGCTACGCTGTCGTTTTTCCATTAACTTTACTTGGAGGTGTACCAAGTGCATCCCTCGATTGGCAACTGAGCACTTATCCATCTTCGGTCAGATAAACCTACCAGGATGCCGTGCATACCCCAACTTTCGCCCTGCTCCCCTAAGGACACTGAGCTTCAGTGTAGTAGTCTCAGTAGCCATGTACGGCACGAGAGCATCTACTTGCGTCACTACCAGTCGTCACCGCGTCACGCGCTGGATATCTGAGTAGTCCATGAACCTGTTGGGATCCGTAAGGAAACTCCCGACTGACTCTGAACGCAATGTAACCAGACTGACCATTAGACACGAACTAAAACCGAGGCTGTGTGCTGATGAGGAAGCATGGTGAACCAGTCGAGTTCAAGAAATGCAGGAGGCTGGAGCAGTAGACAATTATCGCCAACTCTTATAACTTATCCTAACCATTTGTCCCAGGAAAAAGGCTTCCATGGGACAGTCAGAAACAGCACTGCCGCCCTGATTCACAATAAGGAGCGCCATCCGGCTCATTTGGAGGTGTACTTTTGAAAACATTTTAACTGGCCTCGTGCTCATGTGGCGCAGTCAGTTTAGAGGCCACATCGAAGGCGGAGGTCCGAAACGCGATTATAACTTAATCGTTTTCGAGCTGCTGCTCCAGATTCCTTTGCATCCACACGATTTAAGGATAGTGGTGAGGTACTCTGCAAAACACTGACCTTTCTCCCAACAGGTCTAAAAGGAGACCACCCAGCTAACTAGAGGAGATCGATCATGCTGATGATATATAAGCAGGGTAGTCGCACCGAATATGCTAACCCTAGGGGTAATAACCTAACCTTCGTTTCGCTCATCACGTCACTGGGAACGGAAATCATGGATATGGGAAGATTAGGCAGGTCACACAATATGTATGTTGTAGATTTGATCGCAAAACATTTTAACTTTCGAGTGCGTTAGGGGGATGCTCAATGAACATACAGCTTTCGTTACAATTCTTAGTCACCTGCTTTCGTCTTGCCATCCTTTGTTTCTTGACAATTGTTTAAACACATCATTCATTTGCTTCGATTAGCTGGCCTACGTCGTTCATATAGATTCTATCTCAGGGGCCTAGTATCACTAATACCATTTCCTCGAACTCGCCTGCTTGGTTCGTTCTTTTACCACTTCTCATTCGCTCGTACTATTCTTTTGTTCGTATGGTTTTGGTCGGTTCCAATATGCTGTAGTAGCTTTGCTTCATCCACAATTAAGCAATGTTCTCATGCATACAACTCTACCTTGGCTTGTTCTTCGTGTTCTTCCTGTGGTCGTGTGGGCGTGAACAGTCCGCGCCGGCATAACAGTTTTTAGCGACGGAGAAATTGGCGAACCATGACCATTTCCTTTGAACAAATGCAGGCGTTACTCCAACGGCAGTAGCAGATGCAGTTCGCAAAGTCACAGCGGCAAACTGATCGCGTTGTTATCGCAGAATCTGAACATTCAAGCAGAATCTCCAGGACCGGCGGCACAACCTTCGCGGACTCTTGCGGCATCGATTTCGGAGCTTTTTCAACGGGTTGACTGGTGTCACCATCGAACCGTGGTTCCAAAAGCACGAAGGTATTTTCCGTATGGAGCTGGCCGAACAGGATGATGCCTGGAATATCTGCTTTCTATTGAGAAAACTCGGAGCGTTTGAGCATGAACGGTATACAAATTTTGTGCTACCCAAGAATCCAAGAGACTTTAGTTTCAAGGAGAGATTGAAGCATTGTCACAAATGAGCCAACGTCCTTAGTCAGTATGCGGTATAAATGTTTAAAATTGGTCAACCGAGATGCACCTAATTTCGTCACACATGCTGGCATTGTGAGCCGAAAGTGCGAACCTTCTAAACTGGACACCATGACACCTGGCCTGTTCAAGAGCCTTATTTTTGTATGCAGCCTTCAATCCCATGCGGCCGCCGATGTTCGAACGCTTATCCTTCACAAATTTGAACAAGAGCCGCAAATGACATTGCAGGAGATTGCTGCTAAGGGCCAGAGGCTGCTGAACTTGCAACATGACATGAAAATGATGGATAATTCGGATTCCGGAACCGAGCCCCACGTCTGTCGCACAGCCCTACACAGCAACAGTGTGATTGGAAATTTGCTGAATTGGAAGACTCCCACTGCGTGTTGCAACTGTGGCGGGTGGTACTTTGTGAAAGATAATGCATGCAAGAATCATCGATGTCACAAATGTAAACGCATTGGTCATAAAGAAACCCGCTGTGGATGACTGCACAACTTTAGACGCATATCTACTCCAAGGGTTCGAACAAACTCAGAAGGATCAGATTCCAGGGTGCAAAGAGGGAAGCGATTCTTACCGCATTTCGCACATGATTCGCAAACAGCGTAAAGTACCTGAATGGGAAAAGCAATGATGTTCCTGTATCGTTGCAGCAATCTACAACGTCTGACATCACCGTCATATATTGCTCGAGATGGGCTAAGCTGGGCGAACTTCCAGTCAAACCTACAACTCTAACGGCTCAAAACGTATTGGGAGAACCCTTGTCGCTAGACGGAGAAATTGACTGTGAACTTGAATTCAAAATTTACAAC